TTTTTTATAGTAACATCAACTTTCAAATGATTTTAGTGAAATTACGATCCACAAATTGAAAATTTACAAAATGACGAGTAGTAACAAACAATCAATAGTTGAATTACGACACTCAATCCCAACTGTGAACATCAAGATATTGAAATTTTGAACTCTATTTTTCAGTTCACGTACAATAACATAAACTTTCTCCATAGTAACACAACTAAGGAATACTCGATTGTCTTGCGCAACCAAAAAATCAACAAAATCAAAATCTATAACACTCTAATTTAGTACTAATGTATGAGTTCTCTTAAATTTTAGTTACAAGGTTTATGCCCACTTTGACAAAATTAAATTCTTAATTGTTATTACTTTTTTACTATGTTACTATTTTTTGTGAGTATATTACTATTTTTTTTAGTGACCATGTTACTGTCTTTGTTGAGTATGTTACAATTGCTATTTTTTAAATATTAATTTTCAATATTAATATTTTGTCGATAGAGTCCAAACTAAACTGGAATAGTAAATTAAAATTGTATTTTATAGAATGTAATGAGTTTGAATTTTGAATATGAATGATTTTTGATAAATGTCGGTTTCTTGTTTCTCGGATAAGGAAACATTGTAACTTGGAAGATTGTAACTGGATTTGAAGGCGATCATGAAGGAGATGTATATGACTGGTTATTGTGTTCATAAACGTCGTTTATGACATTCCTACGGGAAAGGGTTACAATAGTAAAATTGATAAAAAATAAACTTAAAATCAAATAAGTTTCTTTGACGGACTTATTTTCAAATAAGTCCATATAGGGGGACCGACCTCCAAATTTCCCTATGTTAAATCTAAGGTAGGCCCATAGCATGAAGACTTCCTTTATCCCCACAAGCTATTATTTAGAAAATTTTGATGACTCTATGTGTCCAAAAGAAAAACTTATTTAGGTTTTAGAGCAATATTATGGTTACCAAATATTTTTATAAAATCTCTATCCCAAATGATGTGACACATTTTTCACCATTAGAGAAGTAGGTTTTATTAATATTGAATGATGAAGATTGTACCACTTTATTTGGGATAGAAGATTTGGTAAACAAATTTGGCAAGCATAACTTTATTGTAGGGTTAAACATCTTCAACCATTTTTTGCATCTCTATATTAATATCTTGCTTCAGTCATTTACCGTATGTCCTATCTTCAACAACACTAAATTACAAAGTTCGTTGTTTGACAAAGTGTTACTTTTATTTATTTCTTGCTTCTTTTTTTTATGTGGAGTAACTTAAGGGTGCGTTTGGTAACGTTTTTATTTTTATAAAAAAAAGAATTTATTTTTATTTTTTGTGATAAAAATTAAAAATATAAAACATGTTTGATAGTCATTTATATTTAAAAAATTATATAAACAAAAATAAAAAATATGTTTGGTATTATATATTTTAGATAATATTTTATTCATATTATTTTGATTGATATTTTAATCTCAAATACCTCAATTGGAGATGTCACAATTGGAAATGTTCTTTGTGATAAAAATAAAAAATAAAATTGGAGATATTTTTGTTGACACATAAACTCACAGACAAGATGTTCTTGCTGGGACATACACACACAAAAAAAATACACACAAACACACACAAATCTATATATACAACACATGCACACACAAGGAAGGCTTATTTCTATAAGAACCCAAATTGATTTGAAAATATTCTTTAATGAATTCAACAAGGAAATAGTAAAGATTAACTCATAGAAAAAGCAATTCTAGATACTCAAGAGAGAAATAATAAAGATATTTTTTGATGAATGCTATTATAATATGTTTGTAATTGTGCTATTACTTGATTTGAAGATTCATTCAACTCTTATATTATGCTATTAGTTGATTTGTATTTTTAATTTTGTAGTTGATTATGTTATTTGGTGTTGGAACTCTGGAATTGGAAGACCTTAATTATTTGATATTGGATACAGTTTTGATGATTTTGGAGTTCTGTTTGATCTAATATATATTAAGCATATTATTTTCATAATTATTGTGATTTTTTAACCTATTTACTATTATTTGGCCGGTTCGACCAGTGACCCAATGGTTGAACTAATAACTCATTGATTCAATTCCTTTGCTGGGTTGATGTCTGGGCCGATTTTTAAAACTATGCTAATAGGGATGCGCATGTGTTTTTAATTTTGGATGTTTTCAAAAAATTATTTTTGGTGTTTACAGATTTGAATCTTATTTTCAAAACAGTGGCTTAAAAAAAAATAGAAATACATCACAAATACGTTATTGTATTTTTTGCAACAAGTAAAAAAAAAAAAGAAAAAACACAAACACACGGCTACCAAACCACACCTTATTTTTGCATATATATATTTTTTTAATATTTTTTTAAAAATTTATAGGGTGAATTACACCTAGACTCCTTGAGATTTGTTACTTAATTACTCATACTCCTGATATTTAAAATATTACACATAGATCCCTTAATTTTGTACGCACATAACATTTAGACTATATAAATATATCAGTTAATGAATTATATTTAGACCCCTTAAAGTTTGTAAATATATAATACTTACTCCTCTTAAGTTTAAAATATTATATTTAGATCAAAAATGATTAAATCAAAGATAAAATATCAAATATTTTAAATTTTAAAACTAAAATTCATGTTATATTGTATCATTTATTGAAATAAAATCAAAAATAAAATTTTAATTTTTTTTCTTTAAAATCGTAATTAGTATACAATTATATTATCGATTAAAATTTAATTTAATCGTTCAAACGACCAAATTAATATATCAAACTAATCCAATTAAAGCTAAAAGATATTGTGTCAATTACAATTTGACTCATTGTTTAATTTTTTAGTTTCATTCTAATAGATAGTATAATTATATACTAACTAATTTTTTTTTTAAAAAAAACTAAACTTTTATTTTTGATTTAATTATAATAAATGACATAATAAAATATGAATTTTGGATGACATAAATGACATAATCATTCATATTCTATTATGAATGATTTAGACCTCTTGTTTAATTTTTTAGTTTTATTCCAACAGATAGTATAATTATATATTAATTATGATTTTTTTAAAAAAAATAAATTTTAATTTTAATTTTATTTTAATAAATGATATAATAGAATATAAATTTTGGTTATAAAATTTAAAATATTTGATATTCTATCTTTGATTGAAGTATTTTTTGTCTCTGTATAATATTTTAAACTTAAAAATTCTAAATATTATATGCCTACAAACTTTAAGAGGTTTAAATATAATTTATTAACACATATTTTTACATTAGGGACATATGTATTATGCGTGTATAAATTTTAATATGTAGTATTTTAAATGTCAAAAAATTTGAGTAATTAAGTGATAAACTTTAAGCGAGTGTAATTCTTCCAAATATATATATTTATACACAAAAACCCTAAAATCCCTATCGCCACCTCTTCTTCGTCGAGTCTCTCGTCGCCTCTCTCGTCGCCTCTTCTTCGAAGTCACGAGCCACAAGCATCCCAGGTTCTCTCTCTCTCTCTTTCCCCTATCCTCTTTGACTCACTGTATGACAGTCTCTGTGAGTCTTAATCTCTTTTATTTTTCTGAAATTGAAATCATATGATGGGAGTTTCAAGAGTTTTTTTGTTAAGCTAAATTATAATGGATTTTAGTCTTTGATTTATATCTCATTATTGTACTCTAAAATTTGGGGCCTTTTTAGTATGTAGGGTTAAAGGCCATGCCTTCTTTTTGATTCTACTGTTGAGCCGGCAATGAGAGCGGCTTCTATAGTGCTTTTCGTTGTTGTGTGGATATGAAATCACTGCATTGTTCTTAGTTTGTCTAATCGTTTACATCCGAACTTTTTTCTTTGTTCTGCATCAAAATGTTATGAATTATAATTATTGATTTCTGCGTCCTTTCTTCTTCATGAGTTTCTATGATTGTTCCATGTTGATTTTCTGTGTGTATATATGTTTATGAATGTGTAGATTACTTGTATATACCTGTCTCTGTGTGTGGGGTGTGTGAGGTTTGAATAAATGTATGTAAAGCATGCATGTGTATGTTGTCCCCTGTGTGTCCAAATTTCGATGAGTGGATTTCATTGCTCATTCCTTGTCAGCTGGTGAATTGGTGCCTATATAATTATTTGAACTACTACCCTGACAGTGCTACTTTTTATGTAATGGTTCTGCGAGGTGTATAGTTTGGGATCTAACTGTTGCCTGTTGGCCATGTAAATGGGTCACATTAACTTGTACTTTCACATTTGAAATACCGGATGGAAGACTTGTAGGCATATGTGATAGACACTAGTCAAGTCTCTTGTTTGAGAGTTGAGACAAATAGAGTGCTCAATTCACATTTCCTGCTGTACGATTTTTATGAAGTGGAACAGGCAATCTGCTACCTATTATGTGAGGTTAAATGTAACTGAGAAATTGTATATTGAAAAATATTCATATGACCTTGAAAGGCGGCCCCTAGTAGTGGTGATTTAGTTATGACTTTGAATGATGAATTGTTAGTAAATCACCATAATTTGTGTCATTATCAATTTATCCGAGTTTTCGGCAACCAAAGTTGCACAAATAGAAAAGCTTCTATTTGCGTGGATGGCCCTTCATAACGGCATTAGGGTCTAGCAGCGCTCTAAGGCTTCGATGTACTAGTACTTGCACCAAAACATTGTGAAGAATTTAGTGTCTTGAAAGGCAGTAACACAAGGCAATTCCTTGAATGGTTGTTGGCTCTACGGAGGAGTATGAAATGAACTTGTAACTGGTTGGGCATTGAGTGTTCCGTTGCTTGAGGAAGTATGCCTCTAAAATTAAATGTATTTATTAAAAGAACATGTTGATATGACAAATTAGTGAAAAACTTTCCCATCCTATAATATTGCCGAGGCTTGAGTTTCTACCTATTATTAACTCTGATCCATCTATGATAATTGTCAATCAGATCTGTCAAGATGTATACATCAATGAAGAAGATCCACAAGGATAAGGACGTTGAACCCACTGAATTTGAGGAGACTGTTGCGCAGGTCAGATTGCCGCTGATATACATACATACATACATACATATATAGATAATTTACATTCTCTTTTGTAAATGCCTATGCAGGCATTATTTGATTTGGAGAACACAAATCAGGAACTTAAAAGTGATTTAAAGGACCTGTACATCAACTCGGCAGCGTAAGGATTGCACTGCTTGAATGTCCAACATGACTTTGTGCTGTGTGTGTATGTGGGGACTTCTATGCGTGACAATATTCTTTTCTGTACTTTGTAGTCAAATTGATTTGTCTGGAAATCGCAAGTCTGTTGTCATCCATGTTCCCTATAGATTACGGAAAGCATTCCGCAAGATTCATCTTAGGCTTGTGAGAGAACTTGAGAAAAAGTTCAGCGGAAAGGTATTGCTCAATTTTTATTCTATTGTAGTGCTGTACTCGGTTATCATCCTTAAGAATGGATTTGTCATGTTCATATAAGTGTCGTTTTGGTGATCAGGGCTAATTTTTGTGGTTGGAAAATCCTGGAAGTCAATTGTAATATTGTTAACTGTGCAAGGCTTTTGAGAGGAAAGCGACAAATATTTTGTCTTGGAAATGATATGTTTCTTTGCCAATGTCTTGGAGTATTGGTTCTGAGGCTACGTTATCTCATTGTACTGGTTGCATCTGTGTAACTAGCATTGCCCTTGGCAGAAAGTCTCCTAAAGAGATTTTCGTTTGACAGTTAATTTCTGGGGACATTTTCAGAAAATTGTGGTTCAAAAGAACATTTATTGGAATCTCATGGTGAAGGAATTCTACAAAGGCACCATTAAGATGATCATACACCCAATTCGGAACCAAAACACCATGTTGCGTCTTCTTTCGCTCTATTGATTTACAGAGACTACAGAAGATGAATTAGGATGAGCTGGATCCTGTATAAGTTTTTGCATTAATTATGCAGATGCAATATATTTAGTTTTCCCTTTGTGGCTTCTAACAGCACATTAAATTAAATCGTTCTGGTATGATTGGCAGGATGTGGTTCTTATTGCCACCAGAAGGATAGTACGACCACCAAAGAAAGGTTCAGCTGTTCGAAGACCTCGCTCCCGCACACTTACAGCTGTTCATGATGCAATGCTTGAGGACATTGTGTATCCTGCTGAGATTGTTGGAAAACGCATCAGATACAGGATTGATGGGTCAAAAATCATCAAGGTACTTGCATCTACTTTGTAAGGAGTGTCAATAAAAATGTACTCCCAAGACATAAATCCTTTCTAAAGCAAAAAGATATATCCTCCTGTTACATTTTTTTCATCCATGATGTACTCCTACCATATCCTTTTTTTAATATTCTTTGGTCTTTGCAGATTTTCTTGGATCCCAAAGCAAGGAATGACACCGAATACAAACTGGAGACATTTGCTGGAGTTTACAGGAAGCTTTCTGGGAAAGATGTCGCCTTTGAATATCCAATGACAGAGGCTTAAGAGCTGCTGTTAATGAGTTTTACTGTTTCTATTTCTCTTTGTCAAAGATTTTGATATAATTGCATCTATTATGGGCTATCTGAAATTTTGCATGAGAGTCGGATTGATGAACTTCTGCATGGGAAGCAGGAAAATATTAAAGAAAGTTGCTCATTTTCTGCTTGCTTTTTAATTTGAAATTGTAGAAACTCTTATACATGTTTGACGAGTGAACTTTGTTCCTTTAGGTCACTAATGGTTACCATAATCTTATTGTCATGCTTGTTTATATTCATTTTCTGTTTGTTTGCATGATGGCATGTAGAAGATACGTTTTCTAGATTCAAATCATAGTTTGTTTGATTATAAAAATATCGTAAATCCAGTGAACGTTTACTTCTGAAAAATGTTCTCATAATTTTACAGTTTTTGTTATATATCATTATTAGAACATATATATGCAGGTCTTGGTACCAGTAACATACGTGAACACAGAACAGAACCATAGAAAGCAGTGCTTCATGGCATTAGAAAACAAAAATGAATCAATTCACTTGCCCTGAGTAGTTGTGTTCCCATTTTATAGATTCAAAAAAACTTGCTGCTTACTCTAGCGCTATACAAGTGTAACTTAGAATCCTAAAAGAATTGCTACAAAACCCTGTGTTGTATTCCGCGAACTAGCCTAACAAAGCATAGTTTCTGAACAATTGCTTAGCCTGCATTATGAAAATGGCCAAGAAAGCTGGGTTTTTAATTTCTGTGGACGGTCAGGCAGAGAGCAGCAAACAGAAGAGTTGATGAAATCAATCAGATTTTAAAAAATAAAAAATCTCATTTTTCTTCAACACTTATCATTCAACAATGCTATTTTCCTATATACAATATATAATGATAAGGCAGAAGATGAACCCCAACTATGATTAGGTCAAAAGAATCAGGCCATGACCAACTTAAAAAAAACAGTCCAATGTGAATCTGATGAACCTATGGTTGATGTCTTGAGAAGCATACAGCATGTTAACAAAGGAAAAATAATCAAAATAAGATATTGTAACAACTTTCTTCTCTGCAATATCAAAGAGAATTCGAGTGCTAAGTCCACTACACCTGAAAAGATAACAAGTTATTAGGTAGAAACATCCTGAATAAGTCATCATACAAAATCTCATATATACACGGTTTGACTGAGATGCAGATGTAAACACCTGAGGAAAGTTTTCAGAAAGTTCACACTTGAGAAAATGCGGAAAATAAATAATGTCAAGAGAAGTTAAGCAAATAAATCTCAGGGTGCAGGGGTTTATGGGTAGGTGGAGGGCTTCCCTGCGTCGTGTAGCGCATTCCATTGACAAATAAACAAATAAATGACAAAAGAAAACATTAATAAGGTCATATTTTGTGCTGGTTTATCCTCTTATTTCTTTTGTATGGTCAATTATTGGAGTAGACTGTAGACATAATGATGGTAGATTGTAGCGAAGACCACAAGGGTTCATGCCTTATCAATCAATAGGTTCACAAGAGCAAGGTATAAGTCATGTATTTGTCATGACATTTCAACCCATTTTACAAACTCTACACCGAGACATAAGCATTGCACTTTGTGATGAGGACTTTTGGAAGTCGGAATGAGTGCCCTCCAAATTTCCATATTGCAATTGCATTTCCCATACCTTGTTAATGTGTTCCATTAAACACATTAACTTAATAAAGGAACTGAGGAAAAAAACCAGTCAGACTGAGAGTTATTCTGTGGTTCATCATCACTCTGGATTTCAATAGGAATTTTTGAAGATCCCCATAAAACGTGTGAATAAGTGCTTAGATTATATGCTGCTAATAACCCAATCATTTACTAACAGGAAAGGGTATTTAGAAACAAAAGTAGCAGGCAGGGTAATCCGATATCCTGGAGTACAAGATCATTGTTCAGATTAATCCACAGAAGAGGAAACACAATTTAGGACTTCAAATCCAGCATTCTAATTATGATCAAAGGAAAAAAAGCATGGCTGTTTTATGTGCAGTTTCTTTGATCAGATCAAACCAGAATAATTCTGTATTTGGGGCGGAGGAAGAGAGGGAAGGGGATAATCCCATATTTTTGCATTGAATCCATAAGAACATCACATGCAATTTGGTGAATCTATTCATATAGGCAGCTAGTTTTGTAAAATAAGATTGTACCTCAAGACAAAATGACAAGACCAAGGTATATGGCTCCACCAAGAAATATGAAAGATATCATTCCCCTGCAAGTAGTGAGCAAGTGAGAAATATTAGGTATAACAAAAATACAGACATCTTAATACAGCAAAAAGAAAATTCTCAAGAGTCAATTGCTGAGGATCTTTTTGGTATAAAAAAAACTTACCATATGACTCCCCATGCAGCTCCATTACAAGGGCAGGGACAAATTTCTGCAAACTTCTCAGCATCACTGGAGTTAACTCTTCTAGATATTAGATCATCATAAATATCTGCATCATTAGATTTTTATCATATGATATTCTAGTTCATCAAGAAAAAACTTTCCTAGTTAAATTACTTTCTGGGAAACAAATAAAAAACTTTCCTAGTAAAAGGAGGAGGGATTATACCATAAACCGAAAACAGACTGTTCATAACACCTGCATTTTATCAGATTGCACATAAGCAACATTTATCATTGATCAATAGACGAAATCCAAGAAGCGGGCGAAACCAGTTTGGTAATGAGTTCAAGTAAGAAAAGGGAAAAATATAATAAGATCACGCCCATACCAATAAAGAGAATGATGTACCGAAGGATACGGACTGTGGTCTTCTCTTGCAGAACCCAAATAATTGCAATAAAAATGATAAAACCTGTGGTTCAGTATTTAAGCATCAATTACGCAAACATAGAAGCCGTTGCATATCATGTAGAACTGATGAAGATCTTAAAAGTACTGACCGATGCAAAGTCCTCGCAGTGTCCACTGTTTCAACAATAAAACAGAGCAATTAAGATTGTGCACAATTGAGAACTTTAGAACATAGCTCTCTCATGCATTTTCAAAACTATTAAGTATATTTAAAGAAACCTGGATCTGAAAAGGGCACATAGGATATAATTATACATCTTATTATCTTCTTACATTTTTAGCAATGAAGAGCACAACAAGCAGAGCAACAATAAAGCAACCAGCAGCAATTCTTGCACTGATAAGATTTGTGGATGCAAGTATGAAAACCATTCCCCAAAATGATGAACCAAGATCTGGATGCAAAAAGCAGTTACACAAACTATTAAATAAGCACAAGCCAAATTCAAGGAAGAATAGTCAAATGAGTAGTAACGAATACAAATAAAAATCCACATAGTTGCAATTTCATAATTTATGGTACATCAGGAGTCGATTTTATGGACACTGTAAGCACATGAAAAGAAGCACAATTTTAATGGGAATGGAAAATGCCAGAGAAAAATGAGTATTACATCCAGCAGGCAAGATCAACCAATATACACCACCACGTGTTTTGGTAACCCCACCCTCATTTGCATGAACCTCAATTCCCTCCACCTGCATTTCAGAGTAGATTAAAAAAATTCAGTGCCCAAGTCTGTAAAAATAAAGGCATCCAAAAACTGTCATGAAACCATAACCAGGTCTGACGTAGGTTCCTTGGTCATTGATGTGTGGTTTGGAATGAAAACCATGTGTGACATTATAGAAGTATATTATGTCAAACCATCTCTTCGCATATGAGATTCAACTGGGAGAAAACATGACTGGAGAAAGAGCTTTTACCTTACCACATGTGAGCATACAAGCAATTGCATGGCTTGCTTCATGAAGAAATACTGTGATGAGCTTAAAAGGTGTCAGTAATATTGTCCTCCATAGCTGTTAGGACCATTAAAAGGAATGAATTAAAAGAAAGTAGAACATCAAGAAAAAAAAAAATCCCAAAGAAGTGGCAGACAAAGTTGAAGCCAAATGAAGAATGACACATTATTTCCTCACAAAAGATGTATCATCTTGTATATTCATCCCATTACATTGTGTTTACAATTGCAGTTTTAGGTCTCAAGTCAACATCACAGTTCCTTAGCGGAATATATATCAAGTGCATGAATCTTTTCCTCTTTGTTTCCCACTTTGCTCTACCAGGCAATATGCTCCAATAAAGTACCAACGAATCTTGTACATTTTTTATCTTCATTACTTGTCCCTTGTTTAAACATACTACTCTTCTTAAAGGATCAACTCCTGTTCTCATTTGCGTGGCCAAACATTTCCAGCCTTCTTTCAGCCATCTGTTGCCACCTCTAATTCCTAATGAGAGCCAATTTTGCATGACTTGACCTTTCTTCATGTCATCATCATTGTCACATATGCTGATTTTCCCTTCACATTTTTGTTGTGAATCATCCTAAGCATTAAAAATAGCCAGGGAAATAGTTGACTCACTATTTTCCACAACTAGAAAGAAGCAAACAAATAGCATACAAAAGATAGTAGTGTTAGCAACTTGAAATTATGCAGTGGTACTTGTTCGGCTTCAATTTTAAGGATTCGTTCAAAAACTTAGTTAGACCATACGATACCATACGATATACATTTCCATATGTTGGTTCGCTACTGGCACTTATGTACTAGTTCTTTAGGATTCCTTGTTAGTTAGGTGGCAAGGATTGTCCATTAAAATGGCACACTGGTAAACTTGGAACGGTCAGTTCAATCATTGCTCATAGAATTTATACATATAGCTCACCCTTATAGCTTATGAAACACTTTAGTCACTAGGGGAAAAAAAGGGGATAGATGACTGAAAATCCAGCTTAGAGGTAACAACTATAAGCAAATGTAAGAGTTTCCATCCATCATCTCTGTTGAGGTCTCAATTTACCTGCCAATTAAGGTTGATCCGTTCGATTGAAACCTCCATTATCTTCGGCAACTAAGGACGAGATTACCATCACCACTACTCGTGCTAGTTAATCCATAACGAAGGTACGAGTGCTAAAGAATCTGCTACTAACTCTATTAATGATGCTATAGGTTATGGATCTAGTCTAATATGCTGCTACCTCTATCTAGTAAGGGCTTTGCAGCTATCTTTGGAAACGGTTCAAAACCTAAGTAGAGTTTCTTTTAACAAAAATGGGATCAAGTAAAGATGCAACTACAACTGATTTACAAAAGCCAAAATGATAGAAAGCTGCCCTTCAATCGCTGAGAGTTTTGCTAAGAACGTTCAAAATTCACTCTAGAGGAAAGAGTTATCCGAACTCCTAGTAAACCATGAAGAGAATTTCTCATTTGTTTTAAGTCAAACCTTACAAAAAAAGTATTTGACAAACATAAATGACATCAAAAAATGCCGGGAAAGTTTGCGCAGAGTGTATTCCAACAGCTTACCTGTATTCTGTTTACCCAAAACCTATTCGAATAGGAGACTAGCTCGGCACATGTCCACTACGCTGGTTTTTAGGCGCAGTCGGCGACACCTAATAAAAGTAGTTATGTGCAATAACAATGCACCAACCTTACCATATAACAAAAACAACCATTAGGTGAATATAGAGCAAACTGGAGTTATATTCCATCCTTTGATAGAGTAACGCAGTTATTTGAGTGAAATTGTTTGGTGAATTTTGTGAGCTGGACATCTATTTAAATTCTATTTGTCGGGATAAATAATTGAATGAAACTTGGAATGAATGAATTAATTAGTGAAATTAAGATAATACGACAGACAAAAATCTAGCAACTTCCTAATATTTCTTACCAAGCGACTTCATTCGAGTCCTCCAGTAAGGGATAAAGTAGCGTCTACTAGCACAAGATGTTGCTATACAACTACATGTTGGGTTCAACGCACTTATGTCCCATAAGAATTTGCTCTTTGGCTAACCCGCTCGTTTCTATAGTGCTCAATGTCAAAAATGTTCAAAAATCATATGCAGTGGTTGGATCTCAGGGTATCTTTCGGCCATTTAGAAGTTGTCAAATGAGTATAGTAGCGTAAGGTTTTCACTTCCATGAGGTGAACAAGGTTCAATTGTAACCCAAATGGGCATAGGGAGTAGGAGAACAGTAGCCAAATCAAATTCCATGATAAGAGACATAAGGCTAAATTGACAAATGATTGACATTCACTTCCGTTATCATTCCCAAGAAACTCAATCAATCCAACCCGCAACATGTAAAGCAATACAGACGCTATAGATAGAAAACTGCCAACAGTTTGGAAATCATAGTTTGCAAAGAACAAAGACAACAAAGTCTTTTTTGCCTATGGCGTTCTTCTCAAGTTCCAAGTATTTTCCAAGTCTTTCAACAATTTATTCCTACGTTCTTGTGGTGAATTAAGCTTTTTTTGCTTTCTTTCACTACCCTCTCAATTGTCAATATCTAATTTTCCTTGAAGTTCATCATAGACCCATTATTTCTTAAACGGACCAGTGAAATCCCTACATGGAAAAAACTCTATATGAGAAAACACAAGCAGTAAATCTATGCAAGAAAATACAAGCAATCAAATAAATAAATAAATGAGTGACATATGAACAGCGCTATTCTTCTTTGTAACGCTTCAGAAAATTCAAGGTACTTATTTTGTGTTATATCTAAAAAATTTTCTCTCCCAATTTCTGAAACACCATATGTGATCTCAAAATCTAAGCCCTAAAGAATTGAATTATCACTATAGACTAAACAAGATTCGAGGAGGAATCCAGTTCATTGACCTAAAACATACCCATTAACGTAAAGCACCCTTTTTGGATATATAAAACTCACAAGCACATAAAGAACAGCGAAAAGAATACTCAAAAGCCAGAAAATAAAATATAAAAAAAAAAA